AATGTAAAAGTTTGTTTTGTTTTGTTTGTTTTGTTTCTTTGTTTTTCACATATCACTAAAATCATATGGTATTTGTCTTTATCCATTTAACTTATTTCATCTAGCGTAGTATATTCTAGGTCCGTCCATGTTGTCATAAATCATGGGCCTTGATTCCCAATTATTAGACCATTAACTCTACCAGCTCTGAGTTCATGTGCCACACACGTGGGGATATTTCCTGACTAGCTCTTAAGAAACTATCAAAATTCAAGGTTCCTGGCTAGATTTGCAATCACACAAATAGTATTAGAATCACAGTCTATTTGAATAAAAACTGTAAGCATAACATTTTCTTTAAATAAGTTAATATCTGTCCAATGATGAACAGCACATTGAAATTAATGGTCTGTGTAAGCATGTAGGGAGACAGATTAAGTCCAGAAACAGAAGGAGCTTTGACAAACTTGTCCCTACTAATAAGTTTTTGCAACATTTTTACCCATAAAGATGTCTAGGATATTTAAGAAATCCCTCAGGAGGCCTATATAATTAATATATACTCGTCTATTGTATTTTAAGATGTCTAGTTCCATGATTAACTTTAATTTTCACACTTCTATGAGTTAGATAGGTTGGTTTTATCATCTTCATCTTACTTATACAGAAAATGAGGGCGACAAACTTGACCAATGACACAGCTAAGAGAAACAACTAGAATTAGAACCCATTCTAACTGTAAAACCACTGTGTTTTCTTCCATAAGCTTTCTAAAACATGAAATTAGTGGCTTGGAATATGTAGGAACTTTAACTCTATAATCATGTATCACTGCTTTACTTTCCTTCAGAGTAAAGATGAGGAGATATCTCATTGTTAATGGGAAGAACTAAAAGAATCCATCCCATAGAAAAGCCATGTAAAGTGCTTTGAACAGAAGAGACCCAGAATGAATGCATTTGTTTTGAAGTTTAACTCCATATTCAAAGCATATTATTTAGTATCATCCACATTTAAATATTATTCTATAGGAAAAAAATGGTTTCTGTAGTGTTTGGTTTCCCCCCCAAACACTAAAATCTCTACCTTATAATATAGGTAGAGTATTCTCGCATCTCCATCTTGAATGTCAAACATCAGGAAGAAATTTTCCACAGGAATATTGTTATTGCTGTAATATATTAACTCCCTCCAATATTGAAATATTCCAATTATGGAAACTCTACCTCAATATAATTCCGTTATAAAAATGAACTACAAATTTTCTCCAGGAAACTGGAATGGTGAATGGAACTGCTACATGCAGTTGAGATTTCCTTTTCTTCTAATCTCATTTAGATATTAGATCACAAGAGATCCAGCAGCTCAGAATCTGCCATGTCAGGAAAGACTCTGATGAGACTCTAGGACAAAGGGAGAATAATGCCTCTATGATTCTCGTTAACAATGGGTCTGTCAATAATTCTTCCCAAACTCTACCACTAACCCTCCTATAATACCTCTTTCTTCTTAGGGCCCTTCCTAGCTACTTTACTTCTCACACATTTGGAAATGATTTAAAGGTGAGAGCTGTAAGTAAATAGAGGTACGCCACCTCCTGCCATACCCTTAAATAAGTGCAGCAGGGACATGAAGCACATAGACTTTGGAACCATTTGACTTTGGTTTGTATTCCAATTTTGCCATGAAATTGGGCATGTCACATATTATCTCCATATCAAGGCAGGGATAATAATAGTTTCTCCTGCATAGAATTTATAACATTAAATAGAGTAAGTTTTCAGTCAGTGTTAGCTATAGTTAATAGTCTGAAAAGTTTGTAAATTTTATTCTCCAACTCCATACTAATATAATTATAAAAAGTCCATTTATACTTGCAACTTAATTGTGAAAAAGCAATGTTTTTGTTCCAAGCTTCACTAGAATCTCATTAAATACCCAGGAGAAGACATCCCATCTGTCTCTGAACAATATTTCAGACCTCACTGGTCACTAACTTCCCTCTTCCCAGCATTTCTGTGCCCCTACATTTTATGATTATGCATTTTTATGAGTTGAAAGAGGAGCAGTCACACTCTGCCATCTTTATTTCATCCAATTTTTTAATGTGAATGATAAATAGTCTCATTTATTAATTCACTCTCAGTTATAATCCCACTCAATGGTGTGTCAATCCTTTCATGGTTTTCTTCCTGTATATAAACTTGGTCAATAAAACCAGTAATTTTTGTTTTGCTTCTTTCAAATCATATAAACAATTAAGTTTACAGAAGATAGGGCACTTTCTATTTTTTTCACCGAAAGACTCGGGTCCTGAAAATTCCATCGATCCCAGATGACGTGGGACAGTAAGTCTTTCTAAATTATTCATATTGGACAAATTTATTGCATTTGTCTCTAAAACATCCCAAGCCATTGGAAAATGAAGCATAGTAGAAATGACATTTGTACTCAGAATTGCTGGTTTCAAATAACCTTCTGGTTTTGCTTTCTACTCTCAGTGCTATTTTAGCAGTCAGCAAACATTCAAGGCTATCATTTATAAAATAAAATTGGAATATTGTTCTTTGTTACATTAGGACTGTTGTAACATGCCAACAGAATCATAATGAAGAAAAAGTTATCTGACATTAAAATTTAGTACATAAGTTACTAAATGGGGCTCCTATTGGGCCTCCCCTGGTGGCGCAATGGTTGAGCACTGGTGAGGGTCCCACAAAAAAAATAAAAATAAAAAAATAAATGGGGCTCCTATCAATTTATGGTAGTCACTAAAATTTAGGAGGAAAAATGAAATATTATACATGAAGTTCTGTTTTCTTTTCATAGATGTTCATGTCCATCCATATTCATGAGCAAGTTTATTTTGTGTTTAATCAATAATAAAAAATGCACATCTCTTTTGGAGTTCCAATATTCTCTGTTCTAAGAGTCCACAGACTCTTCCTTCAACATTTGAGTACAAATGTCTTCTCAGTACAAAAAGAATAGGAAAAAAAGAGATTGTTTTAAGTACTGCTGTCACCAGTGACATTTTCACAATTACAAAGATATTGTTTTTCAAGACAGCCCTTTTCTCATAAGCTGTACAATGTGCCGGTGTGCCCCCTAGATTTCTAGCTATCCTTTTATGAGCTGTGACCTGGAGCCAGTTTTGTTGCTTCACTGTGCTTATATGTCTGCATCTATAAAATGTAAACAATAATAACATCTTCCATTTGGGATTATTATGAGGACTACATGCATGGATATAGAAATCTAGAGCAATATCTGGCACAATCCAAATATTGTAAAAGTATTTTGTCATTCCTTTGACTGAGTCAATCAATATCCTAGATGATGAAAGAAAATATTCTGCCCTCAAGAGCAGTATATGAGCATTATAAATTTGGGGCTAGGTCATGAGGTCATGATGTCAAGTAAGGCTTCCCAAAAGTCATGCACCACCTATGAAGGTTTTGGTCAACAACAGACTGCACAGGAATTGGCAACTGATTCCAACAGGCATGTAGGATTTGGATGAGGATAGACTGGCACATCAAGATCCACAGGAAACAATCACGATTTGAGACAAGTTGTGGAGTGTTCACGGGTCAATCAGATCATGGTTTACAACTTCATGAACAGACAGCCTTCCATTTGAGAGAAGAAAGGGGCCCCAACAGGGAAAAGAAAACTGGGGACCTACAAAAGCTAGACAGAATAAACAAAAATTGTCTGTTTAATATCCCACCATGTGAGCCTGAACATCCCAAAATTTGTGGTTAGTACTTTAAAGGTAGTTATTCATCATCTTAATCACACCACCATCCAAACATTTTTGTTTTCATCACTAAGAATTAGTTATGCCAGACACAGCACAGTTTTAAAGAAACCCACATAATGTTCTATCTTTGCCTTTACTGACTTCCTTCTCAGACATTTAAGAATACCAAAAAAAAAAAAAAAGGACTTTGATTTGTCAAAATTGGCCATCACTAAACTATGTTACTCTACATGAACAGTTACTTTGGCATAACGAGCCTACTGTTTTACAAATGTGGTGACATTTATACATCCTAGTAAATGTCACCTCCTTCAAGGTGTCATGGGAAGAAGGCAGCTGCAGTGGCTGCCCTAGTTCCACACATGTGGAGAGCTTATGTCTTAGAATTCAACAGAGGTTGAGGATTTTTTTTATGCAACTCTTATGTGTGCTGCTTTGTTCTCATCCTGCTGGGGTAAATGAAGACCCCCCAGAATGGACCTGCTGTACATGCTAAAAAATTGGAGGGACAGAGCATTTGGTGAAGAGCACAATCCATGGACAAAGTGGTTAAGTCAAATGCTACACAAGCTGGGCAACCCTGGTGAGTTTCTCACTACCATCTTGTCTTTTTTCTCATCTACAAAGTGAGGATATGATAAAGTATAACTATACCATGGGTCTAAGCCAAGACTATGGCTTCAGGTAGGGCTAAGTCCTTATCACTAAAAGATTAAGGTCCTTCGAATGACCAGGACTATAGTATTAAGGAGCAAGTAAGTGTGAATATTAAACTTCTATTTTTTCTCACAAAATATTTTAAGCAATTAAATTTGAACAACCCACTACCTACTGCTCTTTCAAGAAAAATATAGCACATTTGTAACTAATGACTTAAATCTTTTAAAAATCATGGATTCTCCCTGTTGCAAAGAAAGAACAGAACAAGTTATTTCTAAATTGGCACTCCTGTTTTGCAGACAAATTAAAAGTTACTGAGAAATTAAGGAACAGTCTCTAGCTGCTCATTCAGCTTGGCTTCAAGACTGATTTTACTACCACCCTTCAATAAGGGAGTTGCTTCAGTCTGACAGATCAAATTTAGTTTGAGTGAATAAAGTGAAAAAAAATAGAATCAGTTTTCAGAGAGTTTTAAAGATCTTTGAATTGTTTAATTACAGCCTTTACAGAATTTATTAAATCCATCTTTATACCCTATTAAGAACTGACTGGTTATCCCCAAATCACCATGTAGAAACAAGACCGCCATCTGTTATCGTTCCAAAGCCTTCGTGCAAATGGATCCCTCGGGCTCCATGACTCAGCCACAGGCCAGGACAGCAGTTCATCAACAAGCCTGCCAGCACCAAGTGGGTCTTGCCATGAAACTGCTCATGTGCTCTAGAAATGTTTGTTATCATTTGGGGTTTTGTGTGATTATGTGAATTCAGACTTGTGGGTAGCTGTGGAAACAATAGTTTTGACCCAAAGTATGTTTCTTTATTCCTTGGTAGAACCAGATTTGAAGAATTCACGTGAGTCCTTGATTATGTATTTAGGCACTTTGCAACTCACAACCATGTGTAGAATGTTCTGGTGGTTCCCCATGGCCACAGCTGTTTTCTTCCTTCTTCAAAATGATACCTTTGCTTTCAGGCAGCATATCTGTGCCTATGCAACATGAAAAGCCCCTGTCCTGGTTGTGAGCACTGTACAAGAAGCACCTAATGTAATTTATAGTATGAGCTTGTATCAGACACAGGGGAAACCTTTATAACGCACAAAACAAAAATTCTTTCAAATCCAAGATTAAAGACTGTTTTCCGAGTTTACATTTGCAATGGATTTCAAGTATCACTTTTCCTCTTATTTGCTATTTTTTTTCCTATTTCAAAGTGTTAATCTGATGCTAGGAGAAAGTTTTTTTAAAAAAAAATCTTAAGATGCTTATTGTGGACTCCTGGTAGGCAGTTCAAAGGAAAAGCTCTGGGACTCCTGTAAGTCCAAGAGATGTGAAGAACACTTTTGTGTCTGGAGTGATATTATATTTCAACCTCCGAACATCAGCAAGAAATACTACTAAGGCAACACAGCAGACATGTATGGGTGTTATATGGGTTTATAGAAAGATAAAGCATTGTTTTTCAAAATTACTTTTACAAGATACACACAGAGAGAGAGAGAGAGAGAGAGAGGTGGGGAGAGAGGAATTACCATTATCCAATAAATTGGAGAAATGCTACTTTGCTAGCTCTACCTAGAGAAACCTAATACATTTTATTGTCTTAACAGATATGAGATGGTATACAGTAAAGAAATCTGTGTGGCTCAGAATTTCTCCAAGTGTTTGAACTACAGAATCCCTATCACTTGGGATTAACACAACTTGTTTTTTTTTTTTAGTAAAACACTTTGGAAAATATTCTTGAAATAATCATCAGTTAATGCCTATATCAGTATTGGTGAATTCATTTGCTTTTTAAAAATAAGTCTCTTTTCAACTTTTCATCTTTTCCCTGCAAACTAAATTTTATCTTTATTGTCATCACTTCTATTGTTCAAACCTCTGCAAGTTTAGAAGCCTGGAAGGTGAAAGTTTTCCCTGTAGTAGCCAGGAGATGAGGCCTTATTTAAATCAATGAACAATTGCTTTTCTGACCCAATTACAAATTTGTCAGTGGCCTTTGCTTCTACTACTAGCTAATAAAGTAGCTTCCACATTGTAGGAAGCAAACATTATCTCCTAACAGTTGTTCAATTGGGTAAGCTCCTTGCCATTCGATGAAAAAGAATAAGAATATGAAGCTTCTAAGATGCTGAGAAACTTCGTGAGTAAATGGGAGGATGAGAGACTGACTCCAGGTCTGTCTTATTCCATCTGCTTTCCTTTGGACCACACAGCCTCCATATTACTACAGAGTACTAAGCTTGCTACTGTGAGCTTACCCACCTTCTGCTTTAGGAAACTACAGTATGGCTACATCCAAAATGAAATGAATGAATAAAAAAGATGTGGTGTATATACAAACGATGTAGTAACACCCAGTTAGAAAAAAAGATGAAACCCTGCCATTTGCAAAATCATGATTGGACCCCGAGGGACTTGGCACAGGCTAGCGATCTGCCGTAGAGCACAGGGCAAGGTAGTTAGCTTCTTCTCACCTTTCCCCAAAACTGCCTGGCTGATTTTCTTCCCCCATTAATATCTCCACATCAAGTGCCAGAGGATAAGGGAAGAGCCACAGCATGGAAAAGACAAGAAGGAAGTGTTGAGAGTGCAGTTTCCACCCATCACTCAAACCCTCTAGGATATCAGGTATCTAATTGTTCTTTATTTATTGGTGTTTTTGTGGGTGTTTAGAGGTGTCTTCCTTCTCCTCTCAGGGTCCACCTGTCAGTTGCGTTGATATAGGTAGTTCCTCCAAGACTGGCTCCTCTGTACAATTGCTGGAATTACCATCTTCCAGAGGTGTTGCCAGGGTACTTAGTGCGGAGCCTGTCAGAGGTTCCATGCCAGTATCGATGATACGAAAGAATAAACAGCTCCAGGGAAGCCTTTTTTGCTGCCCAGTGCTTTCTCCTGTCTGGTTGCCAACCTTTAGGCTTTGATCTCTCTGGAGACCTATGACAAAGTCTTCAGTTGTCCCTTTGAGACACTCTCACATGCCACTCAGGGCAGTGACAGTGGCAGTGAAGTCTGTCAACGACTACACAGACCTCTAAAGAGAACATCCCTACAGCTCGTAAACCAGTCTCATCACATCCTTCCCCTTTGTGTAGCTGGAGATGGGCAGTGAACTCAGTATCACAGAACTGTGTCAGAGTCTCCTGGCAGAGATGGCCTGGGGTTTACTCTTTTTGACGTTTGGAGCTTGGCCAACACTTCAAGGCTGCAGGAAAAGTCACATCACATCTAACATCTGGTTTCCCAGCAAGAAGCCTTTCTAAAGAATGTTCCTGTGTGTTTCAGTCTTGTGCTTGCATTTCCCTGTGGGTATCTTCAAGGTGCTTGATCCACAGTATGAATTTCTTGTAGGAAGTCACTGCAGTTTCATGTTTACAAGCACATGGTGGTTTATCTTTCACCATGTTCAGCTAATATGCTCTGCCCCTTATTTCCTGAGTTGTCTAGTGCATATTATTTAAATGTCTCTGTGCCATGCTTTCAAAACCTCTGAATGAATATTATATCTAACTCATCAGATTGTTGTGAAGATTAAGTAAAACACTCTATGTAAAATGCTGACCATAGTGCCTGCTCTACTAAAAGCATTCAATTAAAAAGTAGGTAAAGAAAAAAAACCTGAATGGCTATTTCTCAAAAAACATGCAAATGTACACAGGCACATGAAAAAAATGTTCAACTACACTTAAAAGGAAAATGCAAATCAAAACCACAATGAGATACCACCTCATACCTATGAGAATGGTCTGTACCAAAAAGAATGGAAAAAAGTGTTGGCAAAGGTATAGATTTAAAAAAAAAGGTCTCATTCACTGTTTGTGGAAATGTAAATTGGTGCAGCCTCTATGGAAAATGGTATGGAAATTCCTTTAAAATGCTAAAAATGGATATACTACATGATTCAGAAATACTACTCCTAGTTATTTATCAGAAGACTATGAGCACACTAATTTGAAAGGATAATACACCCCTTGTCACTGCAGCATTATTTACAATAACCAAGACACAGAAACAACCTAAATGCCCATTGGTGGATGACTGGCGAAAGAAATTGAATACATACTCAACGGAGTGCTACTCAACTATTAAAAAAGATAAAATATTGCCATTTGAAACAACATGAGTAGAACTGGAGGACATCATCATAACAGTCTCAGAAAGTAAAAGAAAATTACTGGATGGTATCACTCTTGTCACATATAAGTAACTAAAGCAAGTGAACTAAGAAAACACAACAAAAATAACTCTTAGACTCTGAAGAATATGGTGGTTACCAGAGGGGAAGCATAAGGCTGGTGGGAGCAATGCGTATGAGGCTGTACTGAACAGAATACTATACAGCAATGGTAGATCAAATTTATACTTAAAATTTCTTTTTAACTTAGTATTTAATCAAAGACACAAAATATATATTATATGACTATTCATGGAACTTCAAATATAGACACATTTAATCTGGTGATAAAAGTCAGTGAAATACTTTTAGGAAGATAATTGGGAAGGAGCACAGAGAGAAGCTTCTCAGGGGCCATAACTTTCTGTATCTTGACCTGGGTGGGGATTACATGACTGTGTTCACTTTATTTAAAAAAAATCATTTAGCTCTACATTTATGATTTGGACATTTTTCTGTATATATGATATACTGAAATTAAAAAGTTAACTATATTTTTAACAAATAAAATTAATTTTAAAAATACTGATGCAATATAGCATTAAAAATATATTTCCTCTTTATTATGATTTTTTATTGAAATAACACTGTATTATAACATTATATAAATTCCAGGTGTTCACAGTTGAAAATCAACATATGTATATACTACATTGAGGTCACTAAGATTTTGAATTTTTAAAAAATTAATATAATTTTAAAAAACCTAAAATATATTTTAAAAATTAAATAATGATGACATTTATTCCTTATAGCAATGTTACTAGCTGGGTGTGATAATTACACTCCCTATTTTTTTATAGAAAAACTCCTGAACAAAAGGAGCTTTAATACCTTATTCAAAGTCACAAGATTAAAACTGTCTCCAGAACCTGGGTTTTATGCTTTGAAAGAATGAGTAATTTAATTAAGTTTTTTAAAACTGAACTATGGCAAGAAAGCTCAGTAGGGAATCACACACCTAAGAAATGTTTTCCATAGTAGTCACACACAAGAAATTTAATCTCAGAAAAAAAATGACAGCACTTGTCAGAAGCAATAAAAAGTGCTGGCAATGGTCTCCACTATGAAACCTCTGAGTTGACACCTTTCTCTCCCTAAGTTAGAGATACTATTTTGATGCAGCTCTTTTACCTTGTGGTTTGTATCTTTACAATATAATTAATTAATATTTAATTTGGCTTTTCTGGGAAAACTGGTTTGAAATATTTTAAATCGATCATCAAAAAAGAAAGCAACTTGATTAAATCAGGAGACTAACATCTAGATATTTTCAAAATTCTTCAAGCAGAATATGCCAATTCTATATACCCTACATTTCCTCTCAAAAGAAATATTCCTCAGTTCTAAGCTAAAAGACCAGGAACCAGAAATAAATGGGAACAGTTAAATGAGGACTGAAAACAGCAAATATCATAACAAACTTTGTATTTTCATAGACAACTCTGGGAGGGCAGCTCTCTGCTGCCCAACAGCTGTGTAATGTTCAGCAAAAATTTGCCTCTCTGGATTTATGAGGTATAAACAACGGCCATCATAAGATCTGAAAGTGATGAGACCAGTCTTGAAATCACTGTGTCAACACTTAGAAAGTGCAGTGGAAGCAAATAAAAATGATTAAATTTTCTGTGACAGAAGGTGACGGCGTGCAGAGCACAAGCAACTCTTTCCACAGGGAAGCATCTATCATGAGTAAACCAGAGATGGTGGCCAGGAGCAGGCAGCCATGGGCAGGTGGGCGAGAGGCAGTTATCTTGACCTGGGTGACTGCAGAGCAAGGAAGATGGTTATAGTCTCACTCTGCATAAGTCATACTGACTTTTTCCACGGACATCAAATCTTGCTACTTCAGTCCAGTGCCATGTGATGTCCTTTGTGGATGGCTATGACTCCCTCTAGTGAGCGTTACTAGGTGAAAATTTATTCTAATCACTCTGTCTTCCCCCTAAAGCGAAGAGACCCAATTGAATATGGTGGACACTGGTGGAGGACAGGGTTTGAAAATGTATATTTCTAGAGGTTTGAACCTACAACTCCCAAAGCAGACACAAGATGTAAACCTACTTCACCTCAATAAACATAATTTGGAAAAAAAGAAAACTCCATGAGTAGGAACTATTATCAACTTCACTGTGCCTATGAGGAAACCCAGACATGGAGAAATTAACTTCCCAAGGTAAAACAGTTAGAAAAGAAGAGCCCAAAATTTGAAGTGAGACAATCTGACCTGAGATGCCATTCTTAGAACATTCTATATCAGAGGTTGACAGATAGCCTCCAAATCTGTTATACTAGTGAATAATGAACTAATAATACTTTTGTATATTTAATAGTTAGGAAGCATACCAAAAAAAATTTAAAAAAATAGTATTAGTGACACGTGAAAAATTTGAATTGAGATACAAGTTTCATAGTTCATAACTAATTTGGTAAGAACACAGCTCCATGTATTCATTTATATGTTACCTATGACTGCTTTTGTGCTACAGTGGCAGAAAGGAGTAGTTACAAGAAAGGTGGTATGGTCTGCAAAGTCAAACGTATTTATTCCTGGCCTGTAACAGAAAATGTCTCCTGGTGCCTTCTCTGTGCAATAATGATCAGGGCTAAGGAAGATGATCCAAATTCACCCACCCAGATGATCATCTGTCCTTCCACTGCTGTCCAGGCCTTCCATTCTGTCCACTGTCTTCCTCATATCTTGCTGCTGTGTGTGAATTTGACAGAACCAATGTTCTGACCTACCACCAATCAGTTAGCTTATTTTGTCTTGAATTGTGTGCTTAGAAATATAGCCATGGCACACCAGAAAAAATGGACATGCTACAAAACAGAGCTAGCAATGAAATCAAATTTCCAAAATATAGTTATTGTGACTTTAAAAATACTTGAGTCAGTGTTCAAGTGAGTGGGGAAAGAAGCATTTAAAAATCTCCCTTTAATTAGATCATGTCCATCAAAGAATAGAAAGTTAATCTGTTGCCCAGAAAAGGTAATCCCTTTAGCAGATCCAGTCACTCACTGCCTCCATTGTGACTCAGTGATTCTCACCTGAGATAAGAAAATGGGAGTCACTCTCTTGCTGAAGAAACCTGTGCATAAAGCAGCATTCAGAGAGGAAAAGGCAAAGGTAATGGGGAAGGTGGTGCTACTGCTGCTTTGATCACTGGGTTTCAAATATTTTAATAAATAAAATCCACATTTAATTTAAACATCAGTTTGATAAAAATTTCACCTGAATACTTCATGTGTGGCTCTTATCTCTCAGGAATCGTTATAGCAACAGCACAGGAGCAGGATTTGGCATTTCCTTAGTCACAGTCAAGGGGATAACCAATAAAAGAGCCATGGATAGCAGAGCTCTGGGTTTCTCTTGTGTTAATATGCATTTTATAAGAATGGAAAGCAAGAAGGAAAACATGATTATCTCTAAAGAGGATAATTAACTTGTACTCTT